TTTTAAATATATATTTTTCCTTTACAGAAAATCAGACAGTGTATTAAAGAAACAATTTTCTATTCCGCCTAAAGGTTTGGAAATGTATGTATCAGAAACAAAGTCGACTGATAAAATCTATACCAAATAGTTGGAAAAAAAATAACAGAAGTGGACAGCACGGGTTTTCTGTACAAGAAGAGCAGTTGTTTGGAAGCAGTAGAGGAGAGAGAGAATCTTACCAACCTTCATACCTACCAATCCCTGCGGGGCAGAGATAGGAAGCTATGCCAGAGAGCAGCTTCCCAAGAGAGGGAAGCAGCAGAAAGCACTACCCTCAGGGAAGGGAGCATTCTGAGAAGAGCCTGAGGGCACTGAGGAGTCCTCTTTAAAAATGGAGCAGTTTCCAGAGAGAAAAAAGGAAAAAGTAAGGAAACAGAGTAGGAGATGAGAAAACAGGACAGAACCAGAATCTACAGAGAGCTAAATCTGGGATGGTGCCAGAGGATGACGTGGTGAGATGGGGCTGGAACGGTCTCAGGGGCCCCAGCCTTGGTCAGCGCCAGGCCAGTCTCTGCGGGTACTGCCACACAGCCACCAGCCTCTGTTGTTTTACTCTGCTTGTGAGATTTTTATTTAAATAAACTCTGAAAATGTTTAAATTTCTTTCTTGGAACATGTTTGACAAAGTTCTAATTAAGAGCAAAAAAAAATTTTTTTTTAGCTTACTGGAACAGAATAGAAAAAAACAATTATTAACATGACTCTTAAAGCTCAGAAGTACGTGTTGGAAGGACTTCAACAGTGCATTTAATTTACTCTATTAACCCCATAGCACTATACTTATACCCTAAAAATAACACTTGTTTCTCTGGAGAAGGCAATCTCAAACTTAACAAGCTGCGGAAGACAATGACAAGCTCTAAAGGTAATCTTTCCTACTAAACCTTAATTGAGGATGTACTTTTGGATGTTTACGCTGAAGCATTTAATTGGATCTTATATCCTCTGGTTCTGTCCAAGAGGAAAAGCTAGCCCATGATGTATTTATAATTATTTTTCAAATAACACATAGTTCACCCTTTCCCACCCTTGAAGGCTTTATAACTCTATAAAACCTAAAAAAAATAAACATAGCTTTTCATTGGCCTATAACAAAAAGACAAACTATGAGCAGCATCCAGGCTAGGACAGAAAAGGAATGCTCAGAGCTCTTATTCATACACATAAAATGGATTTCTTTAAGGTTGTTCTGGATGACACATCTGTCACTACCAGAGCAAATTAATTAGTCTTACTAGGCTAGTATAGGTTAATATTTTCTTTCCACTCTTACACATCCTACTGTATCCCTCCTCAAATTCTGTCATCGTAAGGTTTAAACTAGTACTTCAGATAAATTCTGTACTTTAGTCCTAAAAGAAATGATACCCACCACCTATCATATACTGAGCTCCTACTGTGTGCCAGATGCTATGCTGCTTTATATAGATCTCATGAATCTTCACAACCATCTGTATGATATACAATATGGTGATTCAACATGTAAATTAATTAGAGTGTTTCTCTTTGGACTCTACACATAACAGTTTAATTCTCAGACAGTGAAGAATAATAATGAAAGAAAATAGGAAAAATGAGATTATCAGCTATATTAATATTAATTCCAATCAGCTCCATTAAATATTTATCCAAATGCACTATAAAATATTTAAATTCTCAAATGTGTAATCTCCTTCCTGAGTCTTTATCCCTTCCCCAAAAAGATATTATAGCTTTTAAAATCGAAAGAGTGGCAGAAAGATGGTGAGAAGCAAGTTATACAGGAAACAGAACTAAATCAGTAGCATTTTATTTCTCATTTGTAATGAAGCTTTACAAAAATCTGTTTTATAAAATGGATTCACACACTTTCATTTAAACAATAGATTAAAAAAATTAAGAACAGATTAATTTTAAACAAAATCAGAAATGAAAGAGAAGAAATAACAATTGAAACCACAGAAATACAAAGAACAAGAAAATATTATCAAAAATTATATGCCAACAAATTGGACAATCTGAAAGAAATGCATAAATGCATAAATTCCTATAAACATACAACCTCCCAAAACTGAATTAGGAAGACAGAAAATTCAAACAAATGAATTACCAGCAATGAAATTGAGTAAGTTATTTAAAAACTCCCAGCAAACAAAAGCCCGGGACCAGACAGCTTCATAAGTAAATTCTATCAAACATGTAAAGAAGAGTTAATATTTATTCTTCTCAAAGTACTGCCGAAAAATAGAAGGAAAGCTTCCAGATTCATTCTGACACCAAAACCAGATAAAGACACCACAAAAAAAGAGAACTATAGGCCAATATTTCTGATGAACAGAGATGCAAAAAATCCTCAACAAAGTACTAGTAAACAGAATCCAACAATACAGTAAAAAAGTCATTCACCATGATCAAGTGGGATTTATTCCTAGGAAGCAAAAGTGGTTCAATATTCATGAATCAATCAATCAATGTGATATATCACATCAAGAAGTTCTGGATAAAAACCATATGATCATTTCAACAGATGCAGAAAAGCATCTAACAAAGTAAACATCCATGCATGATAACAAATCATCAACAAAGTAGATTTAGAGGGAAAGGCCATATATGAAAAACCCACAGCTAATATCATACTCAATGCTGAAAACTGAGATCTTTTCCCCTAAGATCAGGAACAACACAAGCATGTCCACTCTCACCACTTTCTTTCAACATAGTCCTAGAAGTCCTAGCCATAGCAATCTGACAAGAAAAAGGAATAAAAGACATCAAAATTGGTAAGGAAAAAGTAAAACTTTCACCATTTGCACATGACATGACACTATATATAGAAAACACTAAAGATTCTACCCCCAAACTACTAGAACTGATAAATGAATTAGTAAGGCAAAGGATACAAACTCAATGTACAGAAATCTGCTGCATTTCTATACACTAATAATGAAGCAGCAGAGAGAGAAATTAAGAAAACAATCCCCCCCCAAAAAGAAAAGAAAATCAATACCACTTACAATGAAACCAAAAATAATACCTAGGAATACACAAATAAGGTGAAAGATCTGTACTCTGAAAACTGTGAAAGAAAATGAAGACAACACAAATAGAAAGATATTCCACGCTCATGGATTGGAATAACAAATATTGCTAAAATGTCCATATTACCCAAAGCAATCTATAGATTTAATGCAATTTCTATCAAAATACCAATAGCACTTCTGACAAAACTAGAATTTAATGCAATTTCTATCAGAATACCAATAGCACTTTTCACAGAACTAGAACAAATAATCCTAAAATTTATATAGAACCACAGAAGGCCTCCAACAGCCAAAGCAATCTTGAAAAAGAAGAACAAAACTGAAAGTATTACAATCACAAATATCAAGATATATTATTAAGCTACAGTAATCAAAAGTATTACAATCACAAATATCAAGATATATTATTAAGCTACAGTAATCAAAACAGTACAGAACTGGCAAAGACACTGATAAAAATATAAAGAAGAGAACAGAATAGAAAACCCAGAAATAAATTCATGATTATATGGTCAATTAATCTTTGACAAAGGAGACAAGAGTATGCAATGGGAAAAGAGTCTCTTCAACAAATGGTATTGGGGAAAACTGAACAGTTCTGTGCAAAAGAAAGAGACTTGGACCACTGTCTTTCACCATATACATAAATAAACTAAAAATGCATTAAAGACCTAAATATGAGACCTGAAACCATAAAAATCCCAGGCAGTAATTTTGCTGACATCGGCCATAACAAAATTTTTGGAGATCTGTCTCTTGAGGCAAGAGAAACAAGAGCAAAAATAAGTAAGTGGGATTATATCAAAATAAAAACCTTCTGCACAGCAAAGGAAACAATCAACAAAACTAAAAGACAAGGTAACAAATGGAGGAAGATATTTGTAAATTACATATTCAATAAAGGTTTAGAATTCAAAATATATAAACAACTTACATAACTAACAAAGGAAAAAAAAAACCAAATAATCCAATTAAAAGAATGGGCAGAAGACATAAATGGACATTTCTCTGAAGACACCCAGATGGCCAAGAGAACCATGAAAAGATCCTCACCATCACTCATCATCAGGGAAATGAAAAATCAAACCCACAATGAGATATCACCTCACATCTGTCAGAATGGCTAAAATAAAAAATATAAGAAACAACAGGCATTGGCAAGGAAGTGGAGAAAAAGGAACCCTTGTACACTGTAGGTGGGAATGCAAACTGTTGCAGCCACTGTGGAAGACAATATGGAGGTTCCTCAAAAAATTAAAAATAGAATTACCGCACGATCCAGTAATTCCACTAGTGGGTATTAACCCAAAAAAATAGGAAAACAGCAATTCAAAAAGATATATGCACCCCTATGTTTACTGTAGCATTATTTACAATAGCCACATTATGGAAGTAGCCCAAGTGTCCATAGATAGATAACTGGATAAAGATGATGTGGTACAGATATACAATGGAATATTACTCAGCCATACAAAAGAATGAGATCTTGCCACTTGCAACAACATGGATGGATCTAGAGGGCATAATGCTAAGCCAAATAAGTCAGAGAAGGACAAATACCATATGATTTCACTCATGTAGAATTTAAGAAACAAAACAGATGAACAAAGGAAAAAGAGACAAACAAAAAAATAAATTCTTAACTACAGAGAACAAACTGATGATTGGCAGAGGGGAAGATGTGAAGGAGATTAACAGTACACTTAGGGTGATCACTGAGTACTATATAGAATTGTTCAATCTTATATTATATATATGTCAACTATACTCCAATTAAAAAAAGATTTAATTAATTTTGCCTAAGTTGATTCTTTCCTAAATAATTTTCAGCACTCATCAACAGGATGGTAATAAATATTGTAAATATTATGATGGACAGTGTTGAAAATTCAGGTTAATTGTTCACAATGCCAATAACAAAAAAATAGTAGCACTCACCTCCTTTGCACTCTTAATTTTAGTCAGAAACGTATGCAGTTCCATTGTTTCTGCAAACAGTGCACGACATACTGCCTGATAATGATTTGGTGCCTCTGATTCAGTTGGAAGATGAGCAGCACATAACTACAGAAGAGGAAAATAAAATAATAATGCTCATTTATTATTTTGGGATTTTAGTACCTTAAAAATAGACATATCCCATATATTCATATTTTCATATCAGACAGCAAGGCAGTTCCCAGCATCCAAAGCCTAATGCATCACAAAACCATCAGTAAAATCTACACAATTATATGGAAAAAGTGCTCTATTGACAAACATCCAACAGCACAGATGAACTTCATAGAATTCGCTAGCTTCTATTTGAAAATGATAGGACATTTGTAAAATTTTGGTTGCAAGCAGAAAGGGAAATACCATTTACTGAGTATTAATCATAACACAGGTGTTTTAATAGCTATCATTAATTTTTTTTTACCATGCCAAGTACTTGTATTTGACATGTCAAAATACAGCATAATAGCATTTACTCTTCAGTGTAACCCTGAATTATCTCCATTTTATAGCAAAGGAAACTAAGGCTAAGAGGACTCACGTGACTTGTCCACAGTCAGAAAGCTGACATGAGAGAGAAGAATTAAATATAGTCTTACAAGATTCTAAAGCCCAGGCTCATCCCAATACATACTGAATTGTGTAATGCAGTAAAAAGACATGGGCGCCTGGGTGGCTCAGTCAGTTAAGCATTTGCCCTCTGCTCAGGTCATAATCCTACAGTACCAGGATTGAAACCCGTGTCAAGCTCCCTGCTCAGCAGGGAGTCTGCTTTTCCCTCTCCCTCTGCTCTGCCCCTCCCCCACACTCCCTAACTAGTGCTCTCTTTCTTGATCATTCTCTCGCTCTCGAATAAATAAATAAAATCTTAAAGAAAGAAAGGAAGAAAGGAAGAAAGGAAGAAAGAAAGAAAGAAAGAAAAAGAAAGAAAGAAAGAAGGAGAGAAAAAGAAAACCCATCAGATTGACAAGTAGATCATCAGTAAACGGTGACTGGAACAAAGAGGGTGGAGGGCAGAATAATTCCACTGGAGGTAGCTCCAGTCCCAATGTCTTCTACTGTACATAGTCCATAACCCCCAAACTACTGGTGGGTAAAAGAGCAAGTTAGCATCATACACAACAATTTAGAAAAATCAAACATCATTTAATTTATTAGATTGGAAAGACACTCTATCATGAGTCTAGTGCATGGGAATAATTTTACTTTTGTAAAGTAATAATTTTGTTTCCATGTACTATAGTTATGTTTTAAGGTACTTCATTTACTTTATTTTTTTATTTTATTTATTTATTTTTGTGGGGAAGTAGATTTTTTTAATCATTTTTAAAATTTATTTTCAGCATAACAGTATTCATTGTTTTTGTACCACACCCAGTGCTCCATGCAATCCGTGCCCTCTCTAATACCCACCACCTGGTTCCCTCAACCTCCCACCCCCCCACCTCTTCAAACCCTTCAGATTGTTTTTCAGAGTCCATAGTCTCCCATTGTTCACCTCCCCTTCCAATTTCCCCCAACTCCCTTCTCCTAACTCCCCATGTCCTCCATGCCTTTTGTTATGCTCCACAAATAAGTGAAACCATATGATAATTGACTCTCTCTGCTTGACTTATTTCACTCAGCATAATCTCTTCCAGTCCCGTCCATGTTGCTACAAAAGTTGGGTATTCATCCTTTCTGATGGAGGCATAATACTCCATAGTGTATATGGACCACATCTTCCTTATCCATTCGTCCATTGAAGGGCATCTTGGTTCTTTCCACAGTTTGGCGACCATGGCCATTGCTGCTATAAACATTAGGGTACAGATGGCCCTTCTTTTCACTACATCTGTATCTTTGGGGTAAATACCCAGTAGTGCAATTGCAGGGTCATAGGGAAGTTCTATTTTTAATTTCTTGAGGAATCTCCACACTGTTCTCCAAAGAGGCTGCACCAACTTGCATTCCTACCAACAGTGTAAGAGGGTTCCCCTTCCTCCACATCCCCTCCAACACATGTTGTTTCCTATCTTGCTAATTTTGGCCATTCTAACTGGTGTAAGGTGATATCTCAATGTGGTTTTAATTTGAATCTCCCTGATGGCTAGTGATGATGAACATTTTTTCATGATCGGAAGAATAAACATTGTTAAAATGTCTATACTGCTTAGAGCAATCCATACTTTTAATGCCATTCCAATCAAAATTCCACTGGTACTCTTCAAAGAGCTGGAGCAAATAATCCAAAAATTTGTATGGAACCAGAAGAGACCCCGAATCGTTAAGGAAATGTTGAAAAACAAAAATAAAACTGGGGGCATCACATTACCTGATTTCAAGCTTTACTACAAAGCTGTGATCACCAAGACAGCATGGTACTGGCATAAAAACAGACACATAGACCAGTGGAACAGAGTAGAGAGCCCAGATATGGACCCTTAACTCTATGGTCAGTTAATCTTCGACAAAACAGGAAAAAATATACAGTGGAAAAAAGACAGTCTCTTCAATAAATGGTGCTGGGAAAACTGGGCAGCTATATGTAGAAGAATGAAACTCGACCATTCTCTTACACTGTACACAAAGATAAACTCAAAATGGATAAAAGACCTCAACGTGAGACAGGAATCCATCAGAATCCTAGAGGAGAACATAGGCAGTAATCTCTTCGATATCAGCCACAGCAACTTCTTTCAAGATATGTCTCCAAAGGCAAAGGAAACAAAAGCCAAAATAAACTTTTGGGACTTCATCAAAATCAAAAGCTTCTGCACAGCAAAGGAAACAGTCAAGAAAACAAAGAGGCAACCCACGGAATGGGAGAAGATATTTGCAAATGACAGTACAGACAAAAGATTGATATCCAGGATCTATAAAGAACTCCTCAAACTCAACACACACAAAACAGATAATCATATCAAAAAATGGGCAGAAGATATGAACAGACACTTCTCCAATGAAGACATACAAATGGCTATCAGACACATAAGGTACTTCATTTACTTTAAAAAGCTGTGAGTTCTCCCCTATATTCTTCACTATATTCAGTAAATTTGATATTTGAATTCAATTACTGAAAATATATATTTTATTATATTTTAATAATTTCTATCCATTGGAGAGTAAAAGATATCTTTGTAGATTATATTACCTTTCATAATTTGGACTTTGTTTTCATTTGTAGTAAGTATCATATGCAATTTATTAGGTAGATTACTATCTTTAATAAAGTATACTCTTCTCAAGAAAATTATATTGGGTTTCAGTGAGAAATACTCTCCACAGTACCCAAAAGAAGGCTAAGAACTGATTTATCAGGAAGCATGAAAGCAAAAATCTCACAAGCTACACAATGTAATATTACTCAACCAAAAGAAAGAATGAAATCTTGCATTAGCAATGACATGGTTGGAACTACAGAGTATTATGCTAAGCAAAGTATGTTGGTCAGAGAAAGATAAATGCCATATGACACTGGTGTAAAGGTAATATCTAGGTCTAAAAATGTTTTTTAAAAATGCATAGGACATAATCCTATGCATATATAAAATCCAAAGGAATCCACAAAGAACTATTAGAGTTATGTAATAAGCAATTTCAGCAAAGTTGTGGGATACATACACAAAGAGGTATATTTCTGTATCAATGAATAATCAGAAAATGAAATCAAGAAAGCAATTCCATTTATAAAAGTATTAAGAAATGATCAAGAGGGGCACCTGGGTGGCTCAGTGGGTTAAGCCTCTGCCTTTGGCTTGGGTCATGACCTCAGAGTCCCGGGATCGAGCTCTGCGTTGGGCTCTCTGCTCAGCGGTGAGCCTGCTTACCCCGCTCTCTCTCTACCTGCCTCTCTGCCTACTTGTGATCTGTCAAATAAATAAATAAAATCTTTTTTTTTTTTTAAAGATTTTATTTATTTGACAGAGAGAGATCACAGTAGACAGAGGCAGGCAGAGAGAGAGAGAGAGAGGGAAGCAGGCTCCCTGCTGAGCAGAGAGCCCGATGCGGGACTCGATCCCAGGACCCTGGGATCATGACCTGAGCCAAAGGCAGTGGCTTAACCCACTGAGCCACCCAGGCGCCCTAAATAAATAAAATCTTAAAAAAAATGATCAAGCAATAAATTTAACCAAGGAGGTGCAAGATATACATACTGAAAACTATAAAACATTGCTGAAAGACCCAACTAGATAGAAAGAGGGCCCATATTCATGGGTTGGAAGACTTAATACTGTGAAAATGGTAATACTACACAAAGCGATCTAGACATTGAATGCAATCCCTAATACCAATGATTTTTTCTTTTCTTTTCAAGAAACAGAAAAGCTGATCCTAAAATTCATATGGAGTTAAAAGGGGCCTCAAATAGCCAAAACAATTTTGAAAAGAACAAAGTTGGAAGACTTACAGGTTGAATTTCAAAACTCACTATAAAGTTACTGTAATCAAATCAATGTGTATATAAGGAAAGACCTATATACATCAACGGAATAGAACTGATAGTTCAGAAACAAACCCATATATCTTTGGTTGATTAATTTTTGACAAAAGTACCCAGACCATTAAATGAAAAAAGAACAGTCTCTTCAACAAATGATGTTAAGAAAACTGGATATCCACATACAGAAAAATGAAGTTCACCCTTAACTCATACTATCGATATAAAAATTAACTCAAAACAGATCAGAGACATAAATATAACAGCCCAAAGTATAAAACTCTCAGAGGAAAACATAGGGATAAACCTTCTTGTTCATGGAGCTGGTAATGATTTTTTAGATATGACCAAAGCATAACCAATAACAACAAAATAGATAAACTAGACTTTAACAAAATTAAAAGTTTTTGTACATCAAGGGAATTAAAGGGCCCATATTATGGGAGAAAATATTTGTGAATCAGATATCTGATAAGGTCTATAATTTGGAATTTTAAAGAATTCTTTTTTTTTTAAGTTTATTTACTAGGGAGAAAAAGAGAGAGAAAGTGGAAGCTAGGGAAGAGGGAGAGAGAGAATCCCAAACAGACTCCACACCCAGTGCTGAACCCAACATGGGGCTCCATCTCAAAACCCTGAGATCATTACCTGGGTTGAAACCAAGAGTCAGATGCCTAACTGACTGAGCCACCCAGATGCCCCTATAAAGAACTCTTAAATGCAACAAAAAGACAACTCAATTTAAAAATTGACTTATACAGACATTTTTCCAAAGAAAATATACAACTGACCAAAAAGCACATAAAAAGATGTTCAATACCATTAGTCATTTGAGAAATGCAAGTCAAAACCACAATGACATACAATTCAGACCCAGTAGGATGGCTACAAAAACCACCACCAAAAATGGAAAATAAATGTTGATGAAAACGTGGAGATACTGGAACCCTTGTGTATTGCTGATAGAAATGTAAAATGGTACCGCCACTGTGAAAAACAGTTTGGTGATTTATCAGAAAGTTATCATGTGCTCCAACAATTCCACCCTTAGGTAGATTTATATGAACAACATGGGTCTGAACTGCTCTTAGGTAGATCCACCCTTAGGTAGATTATATGAACGACATGGGTCTGAACAGGTACACTTACATGCAGATTTTTAAAATATAAATACAGTCTTGTATTTGTAAATGTATTTTCTCTTCTGTATGATTTTCTTAGTAACATTTTTTCTAGCTTACTTTATTGTAGGAATACAGTATATAATACATATAACACACAAACTATGTATTAACTGACTGTTTACATTATCAGTAAGGCTTCTGGTCAACACTTGGCTTGCTTAGCGATTAAGTTTTTGGGGAATCAAAAGCTGTATGCAAATTTCAGCTGTGCAGGGGGACAATGTCCCTAACCCCTACATTGTTCAAGGGTCAACTGTTTATTAAAAAGTCTAAAAAGCTAGTGCTCAAATAAAATCTTGTATATCAATGTTCATACCAGCAACCATACATATTAGCCCGAAGTGGAAACAATTCAAATGTTCTGAACTGATACATGGAAAAACAAAATGTGGTATATACAGATAGTGAAATCTTATTCATTCATAACAAGGAATAATGAACCTTAACACCATTATGCTAAGTAAAAGCAGCCAGACACAAAAGGTCATATATTGTATGATTCCATTTATATGAAATTCCCAGAATACAGAAATCCACAAAGTCAGAAAGCTGATTTAGTGGTTGCCAGGGGCTGAAAGGTGAAGGGTAAGAAGTGATGAGTATGGGGTTTCCATTTGAGGTGATAAAGAAGTTCTGGAACCAGGTAGTGGTTATGGTTGAACAATACTGTGAATGTACTTAATGCCACTAACTGTACACTTTAATTTAAATGATAAGTTGTATGTGTATTTTACCACAATTTAGAATATGTTTTAAAAACTTCACAAAGAATAATCAAATTCCGCAAAATCTCCTTTGAGACAGAGGAGAAATAATCCAAGTGGTTATTTCAGTGTCCATGAACTGCTTGATTTTTATTTTGTTCTTTGTTCCTAAATGCATCGTTTCATTTAATCCTAACAACAATCCAACTGATAGATATGGAAACTGAGATTTAAAACAGCTGAGTAATTTACCCAAATCACATAGCTAAGGCAGCAGAACTGGAGTCAAACCCAAGGAGTCTACCTCTAGATCTAAGCCAGGTTCTTATGCACTCTACTCTAGAATCAATATGTATTACTTTTATATTAAAGAAAGTAATGTTTTTAAAGTATTTACACATACAGCATGGTATATAGTAAGCATACAACAAAACCATCTTTTACAGTTACCAAACTCTGCATTATCCACCATGTACCCTTTTTCTCCCTTACTCTGTCTTATGAAGTGGAGAAGTGAGCCTTAGTTCTTCCATGTGTAAAATGGTTATAAAAATGCCTTCCCAATCCACCTCAGAGTGTTATTGTCAACTAATATCATGTTAAAAAATAAATTACAATATTAGTTGAATAAGAATGACTATTCAGGGAAGAAGTTACACACTAAAGAGGTCTTGTTCACTAAGAATTAAAAACAAGCAATCTCCAAGCTTCTAAATATTCTATTATTTATATTATTCAAATACAGTTTCATATTTCCACTTCAAAAAAGTAAAAAGCAGCTATATTCCTTTAGTTAATTCTTGTCTTCCCTTTCTACAAAGTAAACAAGAAATCGGTTACAGTTTACTAACTGGAGATTTTAACACACTAATCAAACCACAAACTCTATGTATCACTATATGGCCATGAATAATGGGTTTTATGATATGTAAACACCCTTTTAATTATTTTTCATATTATGATAGCAGTAACATAGGTAGGAGGCAAGATGAAATAGCTCAAATTAAAAAATAGAAAAATGAAATGAAAGTTACCAGATCAAATTGCTGAATGTCCTAGAATTTTTGTTTTATAAGTCAACATATTCAATGTCATTGAATAAGAATTGTAAGATTCCAATAAATCTCTAGCACTCATCTTCTAAATCTGTAGTATAAGAGAGCAATTTGGCAATGACATCTACCATTCTATTGGTCAGGTGGGTGTTCTCCTCCTCATTCACCACTCCCTGTTCACTGCCCCCTACATCCTCCCTACCAAAAAGCTTTTTAAAGGCATAAGTATGTTTATGTCTTAATGGAAAATTTTCTACTCTTCACTTTTTATCATTATCATTGGTCAACAATGGAACGAATAGGTTATTTGTGGGCTGTAGAAAGTTTTATCTGGCCTTTAAGTGTACATATTTCAAAATATATTTTAACATCTAGAAAATATAAAATGAATAAAATGTGTGAACTTTCAATCTGTGCATATATGAGGATTTTACCTGCATAAGCTGTTAATTTAAAATGAAAAGTACTTCAAGTATTAAAAGAGCTAAAGAATATATCTGAATTTCATAAGCATCATAACTGTAGAGTCCTGTTCTAGAGTTCTCAGGAGATTTATGATCTAAGAAGGGACAAGAAGCAGGGTATGCTGCAGTACACCTGAAAAGTACGGTCTTCAAGGTTTCTCTCTATTCTTGTCTATAGGACACTTTTTAAAAAGTTGGAAAATAAGTGATATATAAGCAACACTGCTTACAAAATCTAGTAAACATCATATGTAAATAACTCTAAACAGAATGCTCTTTTAAAACTAAGCTGACAAATCTTAATTTTAATCTGTGCATTTGGCATTATGTCCTTCAAGTACAACAGAAAGTTTAAGGAGAAAATTTCATTCAAGCTATAAAACTTGTTTCATTACATATAAATATCACTAAGTAGGTCAAGAAAACAAAGTAAAACAAACAGCTGTGATATTTCAGATGCAGAATCGTCATATAAATTAGTGGATCACGATTGTTATTTATTCCATAAAAAAGGAAAATGCAGGTCAACTGAAGACATCATGTGGTTAAGTTAGTGTATAATATGTAATATTAAGGCATATATGATATCTAAAAGGGGTTTCCTGAGAGTTATAATTCAATCACAAACAGCCATGTTGGGCACCTGGGTGGCTCAGTTGGTTAAGCAACTGCCTTTGGCTCAGGTCATGATCTGGAGTCCTGGGATCAAGTCTTGCATCTGATTTCCCCTGTCTCATGTGCTCTCTCTCTCTCTCTCTCTCTGTCCCTCAAATAAATAAATAAATAAAATCTTAAAAACAAAAACGGCCATGTTGAGGTTGTGAACAAATCACAAAACCAGGAATGTTTTAGTTCCTTATTCCTTTCACTAATAGCTGAAGATCTAAGACCTTTTATTAGATGCTTAATTCCCATTTACTTTTTTTTTCAGTTTATAACTTTTTTCCCATATGCTTTTTTTTTAAAGTTTCTATTTAAATTCCACTTAGTTAACATACAGTATAATATTAGTTTCAAGCGTACAACACCTGGTGCTCATCACAACACAGGCACTTCTCAAATCCCATCACCTATTTTCACCACCCCCCTGTAACCACTAGTTTGTTCTCTACAGTTTAAAGTCTAAAGTGAAATAACAACTCTTAAAAAAAGAAATACTTTAAAGCAATTTTACAACTCAAAAAAAAAAAAAAAGAAAGAAAAGAAATACTATGTAAATTGCCTCTTTACCTTCATGACATCTCTATATGACCGGATGGCTGAAACTTTTCTCTTTTCATCTTCTTCATCTTCCAGGCCTTCATCTGCAGCCTCATAGCCTTCATCATTGCTGCCATCAGCTTCCACCGTATTGGCCATGTGATCAATGAGCTGCTCCAGAGGGGGGCTTAACTCCCTTTCTTCATTCTCCTTCAAACCATAGTCCAGTGCTTTATAAATAACAATTCCCAGAGATTCAATAACCTAGGGACATTAAAGAAGGTGATTAATGGAGATGACTAAACAGCTTTACAGAGCTAATTGCAAGACATAAAATATTTAGTATGACACTTAAGCTAGGTTTAATCTATTCCATTTCAGAAACTGGTAACAAATTAGATTTGAGGGGATATTTAAGTCTCACCTATGCATTTAAAAAACAATCCCAGATGGGAATTTTTTTGTAATTTCTTCAATTCAGTATATAACAATACACAAACTCTTTCTGTTTTCTTAGATTTATACTATACACTAAAATCTGTATTATCCATTCATATAAAATACTAACCAGGTTAGTTTTCCACATTTCCAAAAGATATTTCTGAGATCAGAAAGAGCTATCAAAGAACTCTTATGCCGGTGTTTATCAAAGTCTATTTCATAGAAATACCGGTGATCTGAGAGATTGAAAACTCAGTTACTAGTAGCAGCTAACTTAAGCTAAAACAACAACAAAAAAATCTATATATAGCTACACACTGCTCATTGAGTTCCATTTAATTATTGGAACATATTTCTCATATGATATAAACAAATGAAAGACTTATTCAAACTCTGATTTCATTGTGGTGGATAGATAATCCTCCCTCCCCCACAACTCCACCAATAGTACCTTGTGAAATATAAACCTGCTTTAGGAACACTAGGTATATATCACTGTCTAATATCACCCTCACAGATGCTCTAGACTTCTGCCAATATAGGTATTCTACTCTATTCCTCAACACAGCCTTTCTTTTCTGCTCAGAAGAATCATATATAAACAATCCTTCTATTTTATTTTGCAATGTTAATGGCTCATTTCACCTTAGCTATTTTGTGGGGAAGAACACAGGCAATGAAGCCAAAGATTTAGGATTAAATGCTAACATTTGGGGTGCCTGGATGGCTCAGTCAGTTAAGTGTCTGCCTTTTGCTCAGGTCGTGATCCCCGAGAAGCCTGCTCCTTGCCCTTCTTTTGCCCCTCGCCGTCCCCCAGCTTGCGCTCTCTTGCTCTCTCTCTCTCTCTACTAAATAAATAAAATCTTTTAAAAAAAATAATAATGCTGACTTTCACCACTAACCATTTGACTCAGGGCAAATTATTTATTTTAGTCATGATTTTTCTTATCTGTAAAACGAGTATCAATGATTATCTACATCTCATGAGATTTTTTTTTTAAGATTTTTTATTCATTTATTTGACAGAGATCACAAGCAGGCAGAGAGGCAGGCAGAGAGGAGGAAGCAGGCTCCCCGCTGAGCAGAGAGCCCAATGTGGGGCTCGATCCCAGGACCCTGAGATCATGACCTGAGCCGAAGGCAGCGGCTTAACCCACTGAGTCACCCAGGCACCCCTATAAATCCTAGTTTTGGCAGAAGCACTGCATGCGAGGAAGGCAAATCCATATCAAAAGTAAGTAACTCTTCCAGTAAGAACAAAATGCCGCCCCTTCCATGGTGGAAGCAGTCATATGTACTCAACCTGCTGCCAGGCTGACTGGCTGATCACCCAGGGGAACAGTGCCATATTGAGGACATAGAGTTAGTCTCTGCTTGATGGCAGATCGGCTCTCCACCAGTGGCTAAAGCTAGGTCAACCCTGGTGAATGGAAATCTACGTTGATAAGCTCCTGCAAAGTCTCCATCCCTGCCATTGTAGCCATGTTCACAAGCTCACTGTGTGATAACAAGGTAGCCGGAAAAGGAGGCTGACTGGTGTCCACAAAACAGGTCATCCCAACCATTTGAATATTAAAATCCTTCTCTTGGGGTGCCTGGGTGGCTCAGTGGGTTAAGCCTCTGCCTTCGGCTCAGGTCATGATCTCAGAGTCCTGGGATCGAGCTCCACATTGGGCTCTTTGCTCAGCAGGGAGCCTGCTTCCCTCTCTCTCTGTCTGCCTCTCTGCCTACTTGTGGTATCTCTCTCTCTCTCTCTCTGTCAAATAAATAAAAATTTTAAAATAAAATAAAATAAAATCCTTCTGTAACGAAGTCACTCTTTGGTGAGCATTCACCTGAGACAAATATCTTCACTTTTTTTTTTTTTTTTTTTTTTTTGCCCAGAGAAGTCTATCCACATATCTATTCCCCAGATTTCCTTTTCACCAATATGGCAATCATATTCCCTCCAAGCAAAGTACACAACCAGGTATACTTTTCAAAGTTCTGCCCACTGGATTTCCCTTCAGCACTGTCCTTCAGGGACATCCCTGAAAGGGGCTACATGCTAACTGTCCACTTTCGGCTGGCACCTGCATATTATACAGAACCATCTGTAAACCAGGCCCAGGTCTTCTCTTCTTCTGTCAGCTGATTGTAGAACTCCCCAGAAGGCAAATAGGGTAGAGGCTAGGAAAGAGAAGGGAGTGCAGCAGAAGTACATCTGGGCAGTGCTTTCCGGGCCCACTTGCACCCAATCACAGGTATGCCATTCCAAGTGATGATGCAGTGTTGCTATGCACACCCAACTTCATGGTTTAAAGGGTCAGACAATACCCAGTTCATGATGGGCAACTCAGGTCACATGGTAACTTGATGGACTGTGGTTAAGTGTTCAGTCTGTACTGTGGCCCAGTAGCTGGCCAAGAGCTGCTTCTCAAAAGGAGAATAATTATCCACAAAGGATGGCAGGGCTTTGCTCCAAAATCCTAAGGGCCTGCACTGTGATTTGCCTATTGGGGCTTGCCAAAAGCTCCAAACAGCAGCTCTATCCACTGCCAATTCAAGCACCACTGGATTTGCTGGACCACATGGCCCACGTGACAGGGCAGCTTACAAGCAACCTGGACTTGTCGTAGAGCCTTCTCTTGTTCTGCTTTTCACTCAAAACTAGAAACTTTCTGGGTCATTCGGTATGGGCCAGAGTAATACAATATATTTATAGGAATATATTGCCTCCAAAATGTAAAGAAGCTACTAGCCATTATGCCTCCTTTTTGTTGTGGGTTTGGGGGTGGGGACTGATGCAAAAACTTATCCTTCACCCTAGAAAAGATAGCTCTGAACCACACCACTGGACTCCTAAAACTTTCACTGAGGTGAAATTCCCTAAATTTTTATCAGATTTATTTCCAATGTTCTAACACATAAATGTCTTACCAGTAAATTTAGAGTAGTTGCTATTTCTCACTCACTAGGGCCAACCAGCATAATATCATCAATGTAATGGACAAGTGTGGTATCTTAGAGAAGAGAAAGGCAATCAAGATCCTTGTGAACTAAATTATGACACAGCTCTGGAAAGCTGATACACCCCTGAGGTAGGCCAGTGAAGGTGTCCTGCTGGCCTTGACAGGTGAAAGCAAACTGCTTCTGGTGGTCTTATTGACAGGTACAGAGAAAGAACATTTGTCAGATAACAGCGGCATACCAAGTACCAGGGAATGCATTAATTTACTCAAGCAATGAAGCCACATCTGGTATAGCAGCTGCAGCTGAAGCCACCATCTGGTTAGCTTACAATAATACAGTGTCCTTCTCCATGATCCATTTGTCTTCTGCACAGGCCATATAGGCAGGCTGATTAGAAATGTGGGAATTGCTACTCCTGCATCCTTCAAGTTCTTGATGGCGGTACTAGTCTCTGTAACCCCCCCCCCCCCCCCCGAGAAAAGTGCTACTGCTTTTTGTGTTCCACTGTCCTACATAGAGGCAGTTCTAGTAGATTCTACTTGGTGTTCCCCACCAAAAGAGCTTTACTTCATTGGTCAGGGAATGAATATGGGGATTCTGTCAAATGTGAAGTATATTTATTCTGATTATGCATTCCAGAATTAGAGAATAACTAGATTCAGGATGGGCTCACAGATACACTGGCTCTCTGTGAGATGGACCTGAGTGACAACCCCACTGATCATCTGACCTCTGTAAACTGGTAGACCGCAGTGATGTTTCTGGGTCTACTAAAATCAGTGTCAGTTCAGAGCCAATACCCCGTCCTTCCCAAATAATCTGATTAATTCCTTTCCCCAGTGCAGTGCATCCCCTTTGGGGATGGCTGGAAGGAAAATTAACAATGTAAATTTTTAGTAGTGTAGAGGGGTCCTTCCTCAGCAGGACATGGCCTCTCCTTCATACAAAGGGTTCTGGGTCTGTAAATGGCTCAAGTCTGGGAATTGACTAAGGGGAGTCATAACTGTGTTTTCATGATTCAAGTTAGACTTTTGTTCACTTAACCTAGAACTTTTTCTGTTTATACAGGTCAAGTAAGAATTTAGTGGGCTTCCTATCTATTTTACTTCTAGGAACACCATGATCAAGTAGCCAATGCCATCAGACTATTATAGGCACCAGACTATTCTGATTGCTGCTTTGACTCTATAATTCATTATGCTAACCAGATCAACTTTGCCTGTGGTCACCTGGTCTCTGTACTCCAGGATCCAACTACTCCCCTGCATTTAGGTTCCCCAAATCAGTGACTGCAGCGCCCCTTCTGTAAAGTCTAACCTACGAAGAGTGATCACAGAGCTCTCCAAGGATGCCAGGGCTCCCCTCATATATTTGTTTCTCACAGTCATGGTAAAAGGTGTGTCTAGACAGACATTCCCAGAGCAGCAGAGTAGGTCTTAAATGACAAATACACTCTAACATTTCCATCTTTTTTCTCATCTTACTATGATTTACTTTTCCAAACTTGTTTTCTTTTATCATCACTCATGTACACTGTTGTCTGACTGTACTGGTTTCTTACTCTTTTCCTTTATTTGCTCTATACTCAAGGACTAAATATTGTCCGGATGGCAGTTCTCTCCAAATTGACCTAACAGTCAATATGATCCCAATCAAAACTCTCAGAGGTCTTTTAGGGAAACTAACAACCTGATTTAAAAATGTCTATGGGATAGCCAACACAAATTTTGGAAAAGAGTAACAAAGTCAGATGACTGACACTACCTGATTTCAACACTTAGAAAAAGCCACAGTAATCACGACTGAGTAGTATTGGTATAAAGGTGGCATATGGAACAGAGAATTCATAATTAATCTTATACTATATAATC